CTCATAGTTGTATAGGCTGCAGATCGGATGGTGTACCAGTCACTAGGACTAATTGTTTCCATGAATTTTGGTTTTCTTCGTTCTTCTTTGCTCTGGACGAGGAGAGACCCATTGTTACATCTAGATGGCAGCTTGCTATTGGCTGTAATCTTTATGGAAGCAAATCACCAGGTCTTCCTCCCATGGAGCAGTGGGGTGATTTTGAACTGCAAGCCTTTCAGTTAGCAGCCAGCGTGCTTGACCACTGTGCCATCAGGGCTTCTTTTCGAAGAGCTGTTGTTGTTGTTGTTATGTGCTGTCGAGTCGGACCCGACTCATAGCGACCCCTCCTTGGAGAGCAGAAGTTCTTAATTCTGATGAAATACAGCTTATCAATTGTTTTATTTTATGTATTGTGCTTTTGGTGTCTTATCTAAGAATTCCTTGCCTAACCTAAGGTTCTCAACATTTTCTCCTTTGTTTTATTCTAGAAGTTATATGGGTTTTTATTAGGATTTATGATCCATTTTGAATACATTTTTGCATATAATGTGAGGTAGGGATTGGAAGAGTTTTGTTTTGTTTGCATTTGGATAACCAGTTATTCTAACACCATTTGTTGAAGACTTTCTGTTCTCCACTGAATTCTCTTTTCACCTTTGTAAAAAGGCAATTCACCATGTATGTGAAGTTCTATTTCTGGACTCTCTATTTTGTTCCATTGTTCTACTTGTCTGTCTGGATGCAAATACTATGCTGTCTTGATTACTGTAGCTTTATAATGTTGTTGTTGTTATGTGCTGTCGAGTTGGACCCAACTCATAGCAACCCCTCCTTCTGTTTCTGAGGTGGTATCACTACAGAAGCAGGTTGTCCAACCTTCCTTCTGAACCACCAGCCTTCTGCTCAGCAGTCAAGTGCCTTAGGCACTATGCTACCAGAGATCCTAAGCTTTATAATAGATCTTGAAATTGTTAGGAGAGACAGTGCCCTTGGGCCTCTTGCCTTTCTGTCTGTCTTGCTGGATATATAATCTATAAGGCCTTAACCACTCTTCTTTTGTTTTCCTTTTGTTGTGTTTTTATGAAGCTAGGAACTTTTAGAAATTAGGTGATATTTCCCTCTGGATGAATAACAGGCTTGCTCACAGTTTGTTATAGGAGCTGAGGCTTCCTCAAGCTGAGTCTTCCTCAGCAGCAAGACAAACCCAGTGTCTGTCTGGGCCATATCACATCACAGACTTGAAGGCAAGGCGAACTGATGTAAATATGCTTATGCTCATACTTTTTGCTGTGCTGTTAGTACTAAAGTCCTTTTCTCTAGAACTAGGAGTCTTGAGTCTTCTACTAAACACAAATGAGTAACATATTAATTTATCAGCTTCTGGTAGCATAGTGCCTAAGGCACTTGACTGCTAACCAGAAGGCTGGCGGTTCAAACCCACCAGTCACTCCTCAGAAGAGAGATGGGGCAATCTACTTCTGTAGTGATACTGCCTCGGAAACCCAAGGAGGGGTCGCTATGAGTTGGGGCCGACTCGACAGCACATAACAACAACAACAACAACAAGAAGTAGGGTAAAAGGAGCCCTGGTGGTGCAGCGGTTAAAGCACTTACCTGCTAACTGAAAGGTTGATGGTTTGAACTCACCTGCCACTCTGTGGGGAGAAAGATCTGGCAGTCTGCTTCCGTAAGTGTTACAGCCTTGGTAAACCTTACAGGGAAGTTCTTCTCTGTCTTTACAGGGTTACTGAGTTGAAATTGACTTGATTACAATGAGTTTGGTTTGATTTTGGAAATAGGGTAAAATCAAATGCAAGACTTGATTTTAAAAAAACCAAACTAGTGTAAGTCCCACATATTTGTTCTTCTTTATCAAAGTTGTTTTAGCTATTCTAAGTCCTTTGTGTTTCTATATGAATTTTAGGGTCAACTCTTCAATTTCTATAAAAAGCCTAAAACAAAAACTCATTTTTATTGAATCGATTCCAACTCATAGCGACCCCATGGATTTTCAAAAGCTATAAATCTTTAAAGAAGTAGATTGCCTCATATACCTCACACAGAGCAGCTGGTGGGTTTGAACTACTGACCTTCTGGTTAGCAGCCAAATGCCTTAACCACTACACCACCAGAGCACCACTACCAAAAAAAAAAGTGTAGTGACACTTGATTGGGATTGTGT